AAGTGGGATGTCACAGATGGAACGATGTAAATTGGATGGTACCTTCTTTTCGAACCATGAAATAAAATTGGGCACACCATCTTTGAGAAGACTATCTTGTTCTTGAGGGGAAGGATCCCTATTTCCTGTCCAGTATGTATTCAGAAATTCCCTGAAAAAGCAAGAGACAAGGGGGTTGGATAGATAGACAATAGTGACGGCGTATGTAACAAGCTCATTGAGAACTTACTGTACATAAGGGTTCACTTCGTCAAGGTTCAACAACACATACAACATGATAGTGCGCCACTCATCATTCCGCAAGGTCTTGGTGCTCGAAGCGCTTGCCCTGCCAAGTTGACCTTTGAAAAGGCTGAGATTTGATGACCTCTCGTCGGTGTTGTAACGAGGGATTGGATTGTGCACGCTGGGAAGGCTATCCTTATAGTATGATGTTGTGAAGTTTAACACCTCCTCAAGAATGAATGCCTCTGCCATGGATGCCTCAATTCTGGCTTTATTTCTACACTTTTTCCGAAGAACCTTTAGACATCTCTCGATTGGATAGCACCAACGGGCTTGCACGGGCCCCCCCATTCGTGCCTCGTGAGGCAGGTGCAAAATCAGATGCTGCATTGAGAGGAAGAAGCCAGGTGGGAAGATCTTCTCCATCTTACAGAGCAACACAGGTGCCACTTTCTCTAAGTCATCAATCACGGCCCGAGATAGCTCCTTGGCACAAAGCTGGCGGAAGAAATAGCTCAACTCTGCCAGGACGCTCCACACATGCTCGGGGACGAAACCTCTGGTCATCGCTGGAAGGAGCCGCTCAATCCATATGTGGAAGTCATGACTCTTCATCCCTAACACTCGGCAAGTGGACACGTTCACTCCCCTCCTCATATTCGCCGCATACCCATCAGGGAACATTAACGATTGAACCCACTGACATACTTCCCTCCTTTGGTCCTTCTTCAAAATGAAATCGACCGAAGTCCTTTTCCATTTCTTGCCAGGCGCGGGAGTCTTCATCACTTGCTTTGGTCTATCGCACAGTGCTGCCAGGTCCACTCTTGCCTTAACATTGTCCTTTGACTTTTCTATGTCCATAAGTGTTCCCCAAAGCGCCTCGGCGATATTCTTCTCTGTGTGCATTAAATCAATGTTGTGTGGAAGAAGAAGATCGTTGAAATAGGGAAGCCTAGTCAAGCCCGATTTATGAGTCCACATGTGGTACTGACCATATCCATCAAAACGACCTTTCTCTTTATCAACTTTGAGAGCCTCTATCTCAGCGCGGATCTCGGCAGCGGTCATCATCTGAGGTGTAGGATCGGTGACTTCAACACCTTTCGTGAAGTTCTTGATGTCTCGTCTGAATGGATGGTCAAGGGGGAGGAACTGACGATGTTGGTCGAATGAAGAAAACTTGCCACCACTCTTCACCAAGTGAACCTCACACCGCCTTTGCATATTGGGCATGGGAACTTCCGTGAACACACCACCCTTGAGAATAGGCCATACGCCGAGAAGTCATGCGAGGAGTAGTGGTACCACACATGCATTGTGAAGTTTCTCTTTGTAGCTTGGTCGTATGTCGATTACCCATTTTCCCAAGCATCGATCAAATCATCGAACACAGGCTCCATGAACACACCTATATTGTTCCCGGATGTCCGTGGAATTATCGGCGACAAAAAATACGTTCTTGGGTTGAAAGATGACATCGGGGGAGATTCAGGGTATCACGAACACGGGCCAACAAGTGTATGGGGCGCGGACAATCCATACTGGTTGAACCCATCTATTGCCAACGCTACACGCACATTGCGCGAGCCTCCTCGGCTTTAACACGATGTATGCCATCGAAATGGGTCCAGCGTCCGCCATCCGATGGGTGTACCATCTTGTCCGGATTGTACCTTTTGCCATTTTTGTGCCATGTCATCTGCTTTCATGGACTCCTCTCATCATGTACAGCCGTTGGATCCTCGGTATGAAAGGAAGGTACCGTGGGACCTTCGTGAGGGATACTCAGCTATTCCTTCTTGCCATCACTAGTGTCGACCTCCAGGTACCTAGAGGATTTGCACTTTGGACAGTGCGTTGCTCCCTCGTGATCTTTCCTAAAAAGGACGCATCCATTCGGACAAGCATGGATCTGCTCATACGGCATCTTAAGTGCACGAAGAAGTTTCTGTGACTCGTACAAGTTCTTCGGCAGGATGTGATCCTCCGGAAGCAGGGATCCAAAAACTGCCAACATACCATCGAAGTTGTCCCGACTCATGCTAAACTGCGACTTCAACCCCATGATGCGTCCAATTGCATCCAAATTGCGATACCTGCTTGTCTTTTTCGTGCAAGGGCTTCTGCGCTGAAGACAGCATATCATAGAACGCCTTTGCGCTTTCCTCTGGCTTCTCCTCCAATCCTTCACCGAACCGTGCCTGCTGAATGTCATCCATCCAGTCTGCTACCCCGCCATCTCCATCATAATCCTCGAGACGCTGTCTCACCACCTCCTCTCTAATATGATCGCTTCACCATGGTTGATCCAGCGGGTATAGTTTGCCGTGAATCCATACTTGATAAGATCTTCCCCCACGAGCCTCTTAATTTTTTCTTTCTTGTTGCCACATCTGCTTGCGCACGGACCACGGCATCCGGGCTGACCCTTTAGCCAGCCTCCTCGCCAAATGCATGCTCCGGAAAGCATTGGTCTTGGTCATCCATTCTGGGGTCATACTTGCGTGGCTCGTGTACATCCACTCACGGTTATCCATCCTCCGCACATGCATATGTAAGCGAGTAATAAAACTACGAGTAAATCCACAAGGCGTTCCTACTATACATCTAATAGGTGAAGGATAGATCCTAATCCCACCGAGGATGCGTAGATGAGGTTGGCTTCCATGGTCCGCTCCTATCCAAGGCAATTTTTGGCGGCACCTCCCACTGTTCTCCCGATACACGCCCCGGCGGGGAGATTGTGTATCGAGAGAACAACGAGGAGGTGGTGCCAAACTCGCTCTCGGACAGAGCGGGCCACGGAACCAACCCATCTACGCATCCGCTGGCTGTCCAAAAACGTGGACAATCCGAAGCAGTGCGAATTTGGTATGCAAAGATCGCATACCAACGACCGTATCTCTTTCTTTCGGACGGGAGACGCCTAACTGGGGTTACACGAGATACAAGTATGGAAGATGGGTTATACCTAGGGTGTCGGTGAGGTCAAAGCTAGTGGGGCGGTGGCGTAGTCGCTGCGATTCTGCGGCGGCGACGCGCAGTGCAGCGAACAATCATGCAACGCCGACGAAAGACGATCGGGTCGCCGAGTGCCTCCCAACGGTCCTCGTCCTGCAAAGAAAAGACAAATGGTTAGACTCCATTGAAAATTTCGGCAGCACCTCCCCTACACGGAGAGGTTCCCAAAACCTACAGAAAACATTGGCACGAAGGCCAACAACCACATGTATACCAAACAAAGGCACGAAGGCCATCAACCACATACATACAACAATAACTACTTCTAACACTAAAACTATGAACAACAACTACAACTACTACTGTCACTATGACTTACTAACTAATACTAACACTACTAATTAACTAATACTACTAACACTACTACTTACTAACTAATACTAACATTAGGGCATACCTTGCCAGCGAGAATGCGAAGACCGAGGGCCGGCGACGACAACGGGGACGACCGCTACGACGTGAGGGTCGACGAACCGAGGCGGCACATTTCTTCTCCTCTTCTCCTCTTCTCCCCTTCTCCTTCTCTCCTCCCCTCCTCCTCTCTTCTCCCCTGCCTCCTTCTCCTCCCTTCTCCTTCCTCTTCTCCTCCTCCTCCCTTCTCTTTCTTCTTCTTCCTCCTCCCTTTCTTCTCCTTCCTCCTTTCCTTCCTCCTCTTTCTCCTACCTCCTCCTCCTTCCCTCTGCTGGTGCTGGCGCCTTGGGCACGACGACGGGGGCAGGCTTGGCCGGGAGTCAGCGAGTCGGCGTGGCCTTGAGGAGCCAGCCAGGCGGCGGCGGTGCAGCACCACGCATGGGCTGGCTGCATGGCGTGTGTGTGTGTGTGTGTGTGTGCGTGGTGTGTGTGCGTGTGTCCAGTTTTTTTATATTTCAAACCTCTTTGCGGCGGGGCGGGCACGCGCGCACATGTGATGATGTCCTGGTTTGTGAACACCATACGTGATGATGTCCTCCAAACGTTTTCAATTTTTTACCACCGCATATGCATGTGATATCACGACATCTCGCCAAGTTTCATGATTTTCGGGATTCGTTTGAATTTTATAGAATTAAATAACCACTCGCACGCAAGTTCGCGACGTTGCCCCGTGAGCACGTTGATCGAAATTTAGAGACAGTTCCTAGATTTAGCATAAAGTGACACTAACAAACAAGAATAACATTTTTGGAATGGATCAAAACTATTATTCGATGCACCTGCAGTTCAAACCTACATTTTCCGGAAAATTGCAAGAAAAAGAAATAAAGTGAAGAAATATAGCAAACAACAATGAAATTGTGCCAAATTTGAACATGTTGTTCATGGTACAAATACAAATCTAAGAAAAAAAGTTGGTGGCAAAAAACAAAAAAAATTATTTTGCCGAGTGCCAAGGTTTGGCACTCAGCAAAGTGAATATTTTGCCGAGTGCTAGCCCTAGGCACTCGGCAAAGCCAATATTTTGCCGAGTGCCAAACAGAAGGCACTCGGCAAAGAGGATGGCGTTGGGTACCGTTATTCCCGGGCGCCTCTTTGCCGAGTGCCCAACTTTGCCGAGTGTCTGGCACTGGACAAAGTTTGTCTTTGCCGAGTGCCTTATTTTGCCGAGTGCCAGACACTCGGCAAAGCCCTATTTGCCGAGTGCCAAGTTTCGCCGAGTGCCCGATATTTAGCACTTGGTAAAGATTTGAGCGCTGAGCAAAGTCCCGGTTTCCTGTAGTGATATCCAGTCGAAGGGGTTGGCGACGTCGTACATCTTCTTGTGCCCCAGCGCCATGAGTAGGCGGTCGGCGACGAACTCGATGTACTGGCTCATGAGCCAGCCGTTCATTCCGATCAGCGCGACGGGGAGCGCGTCGCAGATGAACTCACGCTCGATGTCCACGGCGTCGGGGACGATCTCGCGGAGGCGGGACTCATCGAGCTTGCCGAAACACGAAGAGGAGAAGCAAGCTGTGATAGCGGCCGGTGTGATGAATCACGTGGCGGCTTTGGTCCAAAGGGCTTCTGGTCCTTGTCCTTCCGCTGCCACTGCCGCTCCTCGTTTCAATCCTTCCTGCGCAAGGTACGGGGTATGGAAATGCACTGTGTTTCTCTTGTTTGGCTGACTGCTGGAGTAGTTGATTCCAAATCCTGATTGGCGGCTCGCAGTTCAGCAGTGTAGAGTTCTGGTCCATGCTGTCCCGGATTATTGGCTGTAGATGCAGACCTGTACATGCAGATAGGGCATTATTTGGTTGTTCCCCATCAGATAGGTGCAGATCCCTTGACTAAGAGGCTCACTTTGCGTGACAAAGTTGTTGAGTGTACAGCTAGATTATTTTGTTATTGACCTAACTCATCTCACAGTTCCTGCCAGCCTTGATTAACAATAATTTCCAAACTATCTGTTTCACAGCTGGAGCTGGTCTTGCCTTCATTAGTCCCATCTCTGGGTACTCAAAATATGCAATTCTACTACATTAGCAGCATCACTTGCTAGTTGCTACGACACAGAAACACAAGGGGAGAGGGAGGAAGAGAGGAAGAGGGAGAGGGAGCTAGCGCGCGCAATGGGGGATCTTGTGGTTGGATTGGCGAAGTTGGTGGTGGAGGGGGTACTAACCAAGGCCCAGTCGGCTATTGAGGAAGAGTCAAAGCTGTGGCAGAGTGCACAGAGGGACCTTTGTGTTCATCACAGGTGAATTTGAGATGATGCTCTCCTTTCTCAACGTCGCCAATGAAGAGCGTGCCAAGAACAACGTGGTGAGGACATGGGTGAGGCAGGTCCGTGACCCAGCCTACGACGTGGAGGATTGCATTGAGTTTGTTGTTCACTTGGATAACCGGCCCCACTGGTGGCGCCGCTTCATACCATCATGTATGGCAGCATCGGTGCTACCCATATCTGCAGTGGTCGCAGAGATAGAGCAGATCAAGGCCAGGGTCGAGGATGTTAGCAAGAGGAACTCGCGCTATAGCCTCATCAGTGAATCTGGATCCAAACCAATCATGCAGCAACAACCCACAACCAGCCCTGCTAATGGCGCAACAGCACGTGACATGTTTGCTGAGGCAAGGGACACCACAAAAAAGCAGCAAGGCATAGGGGATCTCACACAGCTGATAACCAAGGAAAATAGTGATCTTGGAGTGATCTCGGTGTGGGGGATAGGTGGTGATCTTGGTAGGACATCCATAAGGAAAGCCTACCAAGATCCAGAAATCTGCCAAAACTTTGGATGTCGTGGCTGGATCAGGTTGACATATCCTTTCAATCCCCACAAATTCCAGCAGAGCTTAGTGACTCAGTTCTACACAAATTCTTGCTTACAACAAGGAACCACTGTAGATGTAGCCGAACTGAAAAGGATGGAGAGAACAGGAGCAAAGCAAGGAGGGCTCCTCGAAGAACTCCTGAAGCAAGCGGATGAGAAGAGGTACCTAATCGTCCTGGAAAATGTGTGCACAATGGGAGAGTGGGATGCCATCAGGGCATGCCTACCCGATAGGCAGAAGGGCAACTGGATTATCGTGGCAACAGAGAAACGAGAAATCGCAAGCTTGTGTATTGGACACTCGTACCAAGTGTTGGAGCTTAAACAGTACTCAGCTGAGCACCCTGTATGTGTGTTCTTCAAGGAGGTGAGACAGGAACAGAGTGAGTTCACTTTTATGAAAAAAACATATTTCTGTTATATGTAGCTTTTTTTGGACATTAGTCTCTGTCTCTCTGATGCACGGTATTGGTCATTATGTTTTCTAATGTCAAAATAAATTCATATGAAGTAAATTTTCAATAGGTGTCACATATTTACTCAATGTATGTCACAAGTTAAATTTTTTAAAATGGTTGCCTGTAAAGAAAATTAAATGACTGCTATCTACTTGACAAGTGACTAGTTTATAGATTCTTTGTACTTAATATATTTTCACAGTCTATTGCATGAAATTCAAGAAACACTTCAATCTATCAAAGATAGATCTAATCTCGAGAAAATATGAGAACTGGGTTAGGAATTATATTATAATTTTTAGTTGTTCAGTCCAAAACTCCAAATCTCTCCTAGTAACTCTTGGATTCCTCCTTTCTCTCCTTAACACTGCTTCGTATTTTCAGGGTCCTCAGGGTAAGGAGACTGGAAGAGTAATGTCAAGCAACAATGAGATATTAATGGAGGATGAAGTGAATCACGGGGGAGGTCTTACTTCCTATCACAGGATTCCGACCTCAAGAAAGGATGTAGCCATTAGCTGGTTTGACCAGTTTAGCCTTTTTGGACGTGAGTCACAAATGAATTGGACGTGAGTCACAAATGAATGAACTTCATAACTATCAGACCACAGCACGTTTCAATGATTGGCAAGTGATGTCTGTGTGGGGGGTACGTAGCAGGTGTTGGGAAATCAGTTCTAGTCAGAAATTTGTATTATGAAAGAATGCTTCAAAAGGACCCAATATTTAACAAGTATGGTTGGGTTCTGGTATCCCATCCATTCAATTTGAGGGACTTCTCTCGGAGCTTACTTTTGGATTTTCATTCAGAACCTATTGAAACCTTGGGAATGGAAGACCCTATTCAGGAATGCCATAAGCTTCTAAAAGAACATCCGTGTCTTGTTATTGATGATGTACAGTCTACAGAAGAATGGGATTTAATACAACCTTCCCTGGTATCTAGACATTCCAAGAGTGTTATCGTTGTCATCACAACCGAAGAAAGCATTGCTACATATTGTGCAGACAATGAAGAGGTTGTGTTTAACGTGAAGGGCCTAGAAGCTCAAGCATCCTTGGATCTCTTCAGAAAAGAGGTATTCTTAATCATAAGAAACATTCATGTTTTCTAGATACTTGAATCTATTGTCCTGCATGAGTCTTACCACAAACATAGCATCTCATTCGCAACTACCAGTTGTTTCTCATTCACCCACAGTTACGGACATTAAGAAATAAGGAGTGATTACAATCTCATACATATCATGTTGGTCGATACTCAATAATCTTTTATTCACGGCTGCATCCTAGATAGATGGTTTGCCATTTTACAAGAGTTTGAATGTTGTTTGCAAAAATAGTAAAAAAATTAAACTTAGTCCACGCAATGCTGAGGAATGCAGATGGTTTTTTCTATCATATTGCCAACAATTCCAAACATGTTTCACCCAACAGTTCCAAGCAATCTATCTAGTGGAAGTATGAAACTGCAATTAGTTTGCCCAGAAGTATAGCATGTAGGAGAGTAAATCAAAACAGGGTGCTCTATCTTTTTCTTAGGTTTATTGTCTGCCAAGGGATGATATGCTTTTGCACCATAAAGCTCATAAGTTTGTCTGAAATCTGCCACTTGTGTTTCAATTTTCTGCATCAAGTTCTTTCCAACAATAATGTCTAACAAATAGATTGTTATTTGGAACTACTAATCTGGAGAGCATCTTTTACTGTACACCATACTACTAGTTGGTAGTGGAACACAAACTGTTCTGTTCATTGATTTCACAACACAATACAGAGCTCAGATAGACATTTAATTAGGAGGTGAACCATGTATCTGTTCTCCAAAGTGTTAAGATTAGTTCTCCATTTCACAAGTTGTTACTTTACTTTACAAAGCTTTGTTTTCCTTAACATGGAATTCATGTATGGTTTTTAGGAAGGACATCATGATGTAAAGGATTATGTATACTCTTAACCATGCTCCTGCATGGGATATTGACATGTGCTTCTCAATTAATCAAGCATTTATAATCCAGTGCACTTATTCAAATAATTTTGAGAAACAAATAGGCGTGTCATCATCCTGTGTGGCCAAATTATTTTACTAATAATCTACCCAATGGTACACATGTATATGTGGGGCCAAATTATTTTTACTATCGGCGTGTTCGATGGTTGGTTTCTGGGCTGGTTTGTGCTGGCTGGTGCTGGTTTGTTATGAGAGGAAAACACTGTTGACTGGTTGAATAAGCCTGGCTGAAACCAACAAGCGAACATGGTGTATGATTGATCACATAGCTACAAAACATTTATGTTGGCCGTGTCATGCATATAATATTTTTTAGGATTCTTATAGTCTTTAGATAATTCTATGTTTCCTCACTTGACCGTTTTATTTTTGTTTCGTGTTCCATTGGCCTTTCTAATGTATCAAGCGCAATTCATCATGAAAATTCATTTTATATGACACAAATAATACCTAATGTATTTTGTGTTTACCAAAATGACTAAGATCATTCAAATTTCTTTACAATAGGTACAAAATAAAAACCTGGCATCACCTCTAAAGAATTCAGATGACAAAGAGCTAGAACAACTTATTGTGAAGTGTGGTAGACTTCCTAAAGTAATAGTTGCTGTAGCCAAGTTTTTGGCACCCAAGACAGTCACATGTATGGAGAGCACTAGAACGCTTAATCGCAGATTTATGCACGAGCTAGAGAGCAACCCTGAGTTTCATGGTCTGAGAGATGTGTTTGGTTGGATGCATTCCTACTCAAGGTTTTTTTTATCGGCCGAAATTCACCGAAATTTCCGAAATTTCCTTTCTATCCACAGGGTCCGATAAAATTTGACATCGGCCAAATTTTTCCCTTCTTTCCTGCTTCCACACAGACAACTCAAATTCAGCCATGCGATAATCCCACACTATAATGTTTTATTCTTGTTTTTACCTGTGAACAAGTGATGTTTAATAGCTTAGGAATAGTTTCAAGTCAAATTCTACAAATTTTTTTCAAAATAATTTGAATTTTTTTTGAATTTGGTCCGATATTTCCGATATATCTTGCTTATCCTATTTATCCATGACCTCCGATAAATTTTTATTTCCGATAATGAAAACCTTGTTCCTACTTCCGTACATGCCCAGATTTCCTAAGGCCATGTAATATTCCCTGGGTCCCAAATCATTCGGCGGAGGCGTTTGGTGATGCGATGGGTTGCTGAGGGCTACTTCAGGGACACTAAAGACACAACTGCAGAGGAGAAAGGGGAGATCCTCTTCTCAATGCTCGTCAACCTTAGCATGATCCAGCCACCAATGTGCAAAGCCATCACACACATGAGAATGATCCGATGCCAAGTCAGTGCTTTCTTCCACGAATACATCATCTCACGTCCAGACGAAGAGAATATTATATTTGCACTGGAGGTCTTTGCACTGAAGGGGCGTTGCCTTCCAACCACCCGGCGCACAGGACGCCACCTTGTAATAGAGAGCAGCTGGGACAGAGACAGGATTGTGTTTGAAAGCATTGATTTTTCACGTCTACGGTCATTAACAGTGTTTGGGGAGTGGGAATCATTCTTCATCTCTAAAAGTATGAAGGTGCTTCGAGTGCTCGATCTGGAGAATGCAACAGGTATGACAGATAAAGACCTCAAGCTAATGGTGAAGCTTCTTCCTCGTCTCAAGATTCTATCTCTGCGAGGAAGCAGTGGGATCCGCCATCTGCCGAGTTCATTGGGTGAGTTACGGCAGCTTGAGACTCTGGATGTCAGGCATACCTCCATAGTTACCTTGCCAGCATCTATCACCAAGTTAAAGAAACTTCAGTACATTCGTGCTGGCACAACTTTCCCAGCAGGGGAACCATCAACACCATGCAGATCTCATAAACTAGTTGGTGTTGAGGTGCCAGTAGGTATTGACAAGCTGACTGCTTTGCACACGCTTGGTGTTGTCAATGCTGGTCTTGCAGGGGGCAAGGACTCCCTCAAAGAGCTCAAGAAGATTACCCAATTGCGCAAGCTTGGAGTGTTCGGTGTCAACAAGAAAAACTGCACGGAGTTCTGTGCTGCCATTGCATGCCGTGTCCGTCTGGAATCCTTGTCAGTGTGGCTCAGCAAGGGCAATGAAGAATGTTTGGATGACATTTCCTTGCATCTGGAGAAGCCTCTAGAGAAAATTCAGCAGCAGCCCTAGGGGAAGGGTCTGGAGAAGCCTCAGCATAAGGCCCAGGAGAAGCCTCAGCAGAAGACTCAGGGGAAACCTCTAGGGACCTTCAGAGCCTTAAGCTACAAGTGCCATCATGGATCAAAGATCTTCCGAAACTCACAAAGTTGGAAGTTGGAACTGGAGATAACCATGTCAGAATAAGTTGAAGTAATTAATGTTCTTGGGGAAATAAAAGAATTATGTATAGTTTAATAATCTATCAATGATGCACAAGTAATAAAAGACCACCTAACCTCCCTTTTTTTTCTTGATATGATTAAAAAGATTCAGATCGAAACACTAGGAAATCTTGTCTTCACCTTTTGTCTTTTTACCTGCTTTTAGTGGAAACATTCTTTTTATATATTAATTAATATTAGAGTTAAATGCATCAGGGGTCCATGAACTTGTCATGGTGTACCACTTAGATCCATAAACTCTCAAAATATATTTATAGGTCACCTAACTTGTCAAATGGTGCACAGTAGGTCCATATTGCTTCGTCAACGTTTTCTTGCTTACGTGGCATGTCAACGTGGCATGTTTTTTTTTGCATCTAACCCCTTACAGCTAGGAACAAAGCGTGCGTTGTCACCATGGCTGCGCCACCGCAGCAACCGGTGGCTAGCGCCGCCCATAGGCTTGTCGAAGTGCCTCCTGGCCGCTCTCGCCGAGGCCGCAGTCGAAGCGCCTCCTGCCGCGGCCCTGGAGCTCGCCCCCGCGGCAGCCGGCACCACGCTGGCTTCTGGGTCAAGGTGCGCCTGGCAGTTCTCGCAGCGATACTTACCGCCATGGCCGCCGCCGACGTCGCGCCGCGCCAACGAGCGGTGCGGCCACGCCCTGCTGCCCCCCACCTGATCGTGATCGTGGTCTCTCCCTCGCTCCTTCACGCCGCCGCTGCCGCTTGCAGTTTATAGTCGCAAATAGGAGAGTAGTTACTATATACACATACGTAGCTGGTGTTGCAGTCTAGATATCTAATAGCTGTCGTTACCATGTTTTTCATTGCTGTGTTGTTGTTACAGTACAATCTTAGAACGGCTCTGCATTGCTTTATGTTTTGCAATTTGCATTCCATTCCTTTGACGAAACTGAAGCAACGTCAAAGTAATAATCCTAGTAACACATGGTTTGAGGTACGGAAAATGTTCTTTGTGTGGCTACAGTACATACAGTTGCAAATTACAATACACTCTGCACAGCACACAATCGGACGCAGAGAAAGAGGATAAACATTTCCCTTGATCAAACAATGCCCACCACAAGTCCACACAGCAAAGCAACAGCCAAGATGACTGACGAAGGCATGCAGGAGTATGTATGTAACTACTATCTACACGAGAACAATGAACAAGCCGAGGAATTTGGTGGCCGGGGTAGTCCCTTTGGACCGGTGCTTGGCCGCCATGTCCTCGTACTTGAGGATCGCCTCGCGCCGCCGTGCCTCCACCGACATCGACATGCGCTTCTCTTCCGCCTCCTTGTGGACGGCTGCCACCTAGTTCCTCATCTTCTCCGCGCACTCCGCCTTCTTCTTCTCCAGCTTCGCCTGCGACCATCGCCAGCCCATGGTCAGCTCCGCTCAGCAGTTGATACATGGTCATCATCAACAACAGAAGCAGCGCCCCCAGTGTGCCATGTGCGGCCGCCGCACTTGCGCGCTTCGTCGAGCGGCGTGGTGCCCCATGCCTCCTCTGCATACTGGCTCTGCACCACTCCTGCCCTCGCGGAACGCACGGCTCGCGCTCACCCTCGCCATCCCTGCTTGCTGGCCGCGCGCAGGCCCTGCCCTCCCAAAGCAGGAGGACGACGATGCGGCCACGATGTCCTCGGTCTCCTTGGCCTCTTCCGCCTCGTCTCTCTTGTCGGCCGCTGCATCTGTTGTGCGCGTCGCGTGTGGAAGGAGGAGCAGGAGCTGCGGTGGTTCCCGCCAGTGGAGGCGCGGTAGGAAGCGGCGGCGGCTGCAAGCGTGGTATGAGCGTGAGCGGCGGCAGCAGGACCGGTAGGAGCGCAGGAGTGGTGTGTGCGATGGTGGAGTGTGTTATCCTCGTGGTCGTGCATATGCTCGTCACTTTGTGCCGGCGTGCGTTCTGTTCCTGGCTGTAAGGGGTACCATGCCAAGTTGACATGCCACGTAAGCAAGAAAACGCTGACGGAGCTGTATGGACCCACGGTGCATCATTTAACAAGTTATGTGATCCATAAATATATTTTAAGGGTTCATAGACCTAAGTGGTACACCGTGACAAGTTCATGGACCCCTGGTGCATTTAACTCTTAATATTATAAAAGCAGGCATTATTAAGAAATAGTTTACGTAGGTGGCTCGCCATCATGCGCGCACATGTTCAGACTCTGAAGTCTTCCAGTCAATGAATGAAATTAGGAAGGGAGTTCAGGGGCGACCTCCTTGCTTAGCACTAGCAGTGTCCAGTTCCAATCCATGCCCTTCCTAACCAGTTTATTCAGGCTGTAGCAGGTTGTGTGTACGCTGCTATCAGTGTTATTTTTTTTCTTCTCAGTTTTCTTCTCCTGCTGTATCGATTTTCCTACTGAACTCGAGCGGATATCGATTTTTCCCAGGAACTCTATTTCTTTGCTTTGGTGCATCCCTGGTACACGTTGTGTACTTGTCTACTTGAGCAGATTCAGACTTGCAGTGTAGTCCGTTTGTGGTTTCTACATTCTATTCCCCGATTCTGTGAATTAATGTTCCCTAACGGCGAAAGTCCGTTGAAATTAGTCTGCGCTGTGAATCTGGATCGTCAAGGTTGTTTTGACCTTTGTCGATTGTGTTGCTTCCCCTCCGTCTTCCCTGAATCGATCTGCCGAGCTGCAGAGGAATTCCTCTCGCCTTCCTATAACCTAATCTCCTCGCTCCGTTGACTCTGCTCAACTCGTCTGGACATTGATTCAGTTCAGCTTGAGGGCTCACTTGCTGTCTTCTCTTTGTTCGTCATTTCTGATTGAACATTCTTCGCAGTTCAGATGTGTCCTGTTCCACCGGCGAGTTGACCGACCCATTGCCTTATTGCTGGGGATGCTGGTAAGTCACTCAGCTTGGATCTAAACAAGCGATTGTAGCAGGATACTAATTGTTGCTTACAGTCAGGATGAGCATTCAGGCCTTGTGATTTCGCATCATTTTTGTGCATGATAAAACTGAAGAGGAGAAGATTGTTCAGTCCAGAGTGTTGAGATGTTCTTTCTTTCGTTTAGCATCAACTGCCATTCTCGACATTGTGATTGTTTCCTATTAATTTGCCCTTTTTCCTTGTTGATTCACAAGATTATGTAATCTCTATACTTACTCTGCCTGTGCCAGTGCCACGGATCCAAGTGTTAGGACGTCCCCATTATATTGTTCTTGGTAGTGTTGGTTATACTGCTCTAACCAAGTTCCGGTAAGTTTATCTTGTAGACCAGCTCTGTTGTTTTATCTTTCTTGACTGCATAATTATATTCCTTGTGGTTCGTGTTCGAAGCGCGCATTTACATGTAACTAGGTACAAAATTGAATGGATTATGAAGCTACTAGTAGTATGTACGATGTTTTTTTTTAACGCAATGGCAAGAGCTCTGCCTTTCAATTAAGATAGTGAAAGAAAGTTTATGTACACGCAAGGATACTCGAGACGAGGGTTTCAAACCCCCACAAGCAAGTAAAGGAGGAAAACGCTTGCTACGTGATGTCCTGGAGCGCTTGCTACGTGATGCAAGCGCAGAGCCAAGAGAACTTCCACCGTCACTTCTAAGAGCCATCACAAACGATTTCAATGATGCTCGGCAAATTGGTGAAGATGGATATTTTGAGCTCTACTGTAACACCCTAAAATTTCTTTTTTTCGAAATAGATATAAATTGATTTAATTTTGTATTTTGTGTTCACGAAAACATAGGTAAATAATATTTTTTATTACGTTAAAATTTATCATAAGGGTTAGCAACATTTTTGTGCATACATGCGGGTGTATTGGAATTATTGGAATGTGTGACTTTGTATAAAATTCAAATTTTCAAAAGGATTTAAATTTGAATTGAATTTGGTTTTGAAAATGTGTTAAAGAAAAAAAAAGAATTTCACTTCTCTCTCTCACTCTCTCTGGTTTTTGGCCTGCTCCCTCTCTCCTCCGCAGCCCAGTGTGCCTGCCGGCCTTTTTCCTCTCCTAGCGGCTCACCCCAAGTCGAGACCCGTGCAGTATTCCCCTCTCTCCCCTCTCCTTCGCCTTGCGCGGCCCAACCAGGCCCAAGCCGCGCGCACCGGCCTAGCTGCCCCGCACCGCGTCACCCGCTCCCCTTCTCCTCTCCTCCCTCACTGGCGCCACGACCCCGCTCTCTCTCTCTCTCTCTCGCTGACCACCGGGGCCCACTCGTTAGTGCCTTCTCCTTTCTCTGCCGTCGTCTTTCTCTCGTATACGCATCGGACTGCATTGCCACCGACTCCGCAGCCGCCATGAGTCCACCTTGTTGTGCGCTCCACGCCATAGACGCCTCATAAAAGCTAAGCCCCGTGTCCGCCACCTCCTATCGTGCGCTATCACAAGCTGCTGCCTCGCCTCAAGCCGCGCCACCGCTGCGAAACCCTAGCCGCCGTCCGCCGCTGCTGCTGCCGAGCACCGCGCCGCCTCCATCCTCTCCACGCCACCGAGGATTGCCGTGGTTAGTTCGCATTGTTTTCCTCTTTCTCCCCGTGCTATTCTCGCAAGGAACCGTGGCCCGTAGGGCCGTATTCCAGGCTTCACCGATGAGCTTCGCCGCCGGCGATGGCAACCACCGCGCCGGATTCCCTGTTCCGGTGGCCGCACTCTCTCTTTCCCTCCCTCCTCTAATCCCTAGTGTTCACTCTCGATCCAATGGCCCAGATTCACCGTACCGGTTCGGCCAGTCACTTTTGCAAAAGAGCCCTGCCCTTTTCTAGTATAGAACCCGCAGTCCAAAGCGTATTCACAGAATACATTTCCCTTTTCACAAAGCGTAGTTTCTTTCGG